ACCTGTGTACAACACCGAAATTCCACCAATCATCTCATGAAATTCAGAGACGCCCAATTAGTGATCAAAGAAACTAATTTCCGCAGACGAAAGTGCCTCGAATCAGCACTGATCGCTGTTTCAAATACAATTAAACAAAACAACGGCAGCTTCACCATCTCCGAAGTCTTAGCAAGAATCCTCCTGAAAACAGTAAACCCTGCCATCACATAGTCTCTCCTGTTATACTACACAAAGCACATTACAGAGAGTGAACACTGAAACGAGCTGCCTCTTTCCACTATATTTGTCCAACCTATTTTTATGTTATCCAAGTAATAGCTTTTATATCCTTTTACTCATGTACGAATTAATTGCTCTACCATATTGTATTACTTTTGTCACTACCACTACTACTACTACTACTACTACTACTACTACTACCACTAGTGAACATCGAAATGGTACCTCACTAGTATTCACCTCACTCTGAGCCTTTATATACCCTCTGTGTCCTGTATTGTTTGTAATGGCTTGATAAAGCTCCTGGAGAGCGAAACGTTGCCACAATAAATGTCACATTAGTTGCACTTGTGTCCTTTTACTTTACATATTGTCGGTAATTCTACCAACTTTATTACTAGATTACATTTTGTTGGAGATTATGTTTCTGATTAGTTCATTATTCGTGAAGATCAGGTCTAGCGTATTTCCAGGAGGTGCTGTTACTGTAGTTACAAAAGTTTACTGGTATGAACCTGCTGGGCCAGAGTCCTTCCAGGTACCTGAACGGTACAATGGTTATGTCTGTTGCTGTCGACTTTCCATCAGTCTATTATCAAAACTGATAGACTGGGCACATCGACTCCAGGTTGAAGGACAGATTACCTCAAACTTATTCTCATATTCCACCGTTCTTTAAATTTGGCTAAACGTTTCCAGAATAAAGATACAGGTATCTCATGTATCATATATGTTGAAATCTTCAAAGACGATAATATTTGACATTGGGCAGCGAAGATTTTCTAGGCAGCTGCCTATTTTGCTCTTTCTGTTCAGTGAATTCCTCTGTTGTTGACATTGGAGGTTTGTGTTAGTAAAAAATTATATTTTTTTTTTTGTTTTCAAACTGACATTTCCTCCAATTTGACAATTCCTCCACTGTATCAGTTCCTCCACTGTATCAGTTCCTCCACTGTATCAGTTCCTCCACTTGAACAATTTTGCGCAACGAAATAAGTCTTTTACCTGAAGACTTTCCTCTTTCAAAAATTTATTTGATTTATCGCATCTGTACAGATGAGATGGAGCAAAAGCTTTTGGCGAAAGGTTCGCGAATTAAACCTGATTCCCTCTTATTCCCGCAGGTTCTGTGTGAACCCAGTGTGTTTATAACCGCCTCAAGAATTTAATAAGAATATACATTATCGCCAAAATATTTTAACGGCAATAGGGTAGAAAATTCCCAGCTTACCAATATATTTATTTACATCCAGATAACATCTGTGTGTGGGACGTTCTAACGACTGTAGGAGTCTCTGAGAGCGAGCAAGGAACAACCGTGGACATCCAGGCGGCCATTAACCGTTGTCCAATGTCCACGAAGACTGTCACGTTTAAAGGTTATAAACCAGTGAGAGCGGTGGGAGCCTTGAACGGACCACAGTGAGACAAGTCTTGAAACTCCCATGAAGAGTCCCTTCATTGATTACTACGATGATAGTGAAAAACCCCACATGAGGAAGTAAAACAGTGTTTAAAATACATAAAAGATGAAATAGGCTCCGTTGCAACAATCTTTTAGATGTTTTTTGGCACAATCATCAAGACTGGCGGTAGTGAAACACCAGCTGCTAGGCTGGGACTGATAACCTTATTTTCTGCCCTCTCCTGTTTTCTAATTGTATTCTAAAGTCACATTGGCGATATGTCAACATCATAAAGATCCCAGATGCTGCACAGTCTTCAATTTATCAACCCCATAAATGCTACCTTACATGAAACTCAGTTAGACTTGAAAATGGTAATGTTCAAGTTTAAAAGAATTTCAGTTTGCTTCAAATAAACTTTGAAGTTCAGTATAGCTGAAAAACCCTTTAGTTAATAGTATTTGGTGATTTTATTATTGCCCAACTGAAGGTCTTTCACTTAAACTGATCTATAATAGCGTAACAGAATGCTAAGTCCCCAAAATTTTGCAAAAATATAATACGGCACACACACACACACACACACACACACACACAAACAACACACACACACGAAAGTTTTCCCTGTTTGCAGTGATGTGAAGTTAATGAGGAAAATTTAAATCTGATGAGGACAGGCGGGACTTCAAAGGGGACCTGGACAGACTGGAACCGGTCAGCAAATGGCTTCTCGAATTTATCCTCAAATGCAAATCATGAAGTAGGGGAAGGCCCCGAACCACAGACAGAGTAAGGCAAAGTGGCCAAGCTGAAAACTCACATCAAGGAGAAAATCTGGGTGAGTATAACCCCGGGAACATGTCTCCGGAAAGCACCATCATCAGATAATCTGCAGCAAAAGGGGCGCCTGGCAAAACTGAGAACAGCATTCCGATACCTTAGTAAGGGAATCGTTCAGCCCATGTACCCGTGTATTTTCAGCCCATACGGGATGTATAGCACCTTTTTGGAACCCGCACTTGATAAGCACGTCAAAATAGAGAAAGTACAAGTTTGCGACAAGTTAGTTCCAGAGTAAGGGAATGTCCTTATGAAAAAAAGTTTAAAAGGAATCGGCCTGACGACACTGGAAGGACAGGAGGTTCAGGGGAACATGATAACGACAATTAAAATACTGCGTGAATGACAAGGTGGACAAAGACAGGATTTTCGGTGAGGGACAAGACAAGAGGCCAAAATTTGGGAAGTTGAAGAAAACAAATGAGGTCAGAGAGATATTGGGAAAAGTATTCTTCAGAATAGAGTTGTAAGGCAGTGGAATCCTAGGAAAAGACTTTATTTGGAGGAGGAACCATACATAGTTTTAAGACGAGGTTTGATAAAAGCTCATGGGCGGGGAGAGAGAGGGCCCCCTACAACCGGGGAAAAGGCGGGGCAGGAGCTAAGGGCTCGCCCCCCAACCCAAATAGGTGAGTACAATAGGCGATACAGATGTTAGGAAGTATTTTTCAGTCACAGAGTAGTCAGGAAGTGGGAAAAGTTTGAGAAGCAATGTAGTGGAGGTTTGGATCCATTCATAGCTTTTCAGGTATGAAAGCTCATGGTTCAAGGAGGGGTGCCCTAGCGACCCTGAAGAAGCGGTCCATGAGCTATGACTGATCCTGCAACCGCAACTAAGTGAGTACAACTAGGGGGCACACACACACCACACACAACACACCCACACACACACACCACACACACACACACACAACACCAGGAGCTAGGACTCACCCTGCAACCTCAACTAGGTGAGTACACAGTAGTCATGGTTTTTCAATCACAGAGAATACTTGGAAACCTGAGCCACATGGGGTTGATAAATGATTTACTGTCAGGAATCTCCCATTGAAAACAGACTTAAGCTTGGGAAACTCCACTTCTGGAGGATGAATGAGGGGGAGATATCATCGACGTTTTATAAGTGGATGACGGGCATAAACAAAAGTGATATTAATAAAGTACTGAGGGTGTCGAACCAGGTAAGAACCAGAAATGATGGATTTAAGTTGGATAAATTTAGATTTAGAAATGACATAGGTAAGTACTGGTTTTCTAACAGAGTTATGGATGCGTGGAACAATCTTCCGAGTAGGGTGATAGAGGCTAGGACCTTGGGTAGCTTTAAAAGGAAACTAGACAAATATATGAGTGGGAGGGGCTGGATTTGATTGGTGTCGTGGATACGAAAGCAAATCCTTGGGTAGCTTTGGGCAGGGGTGGTTTTGATATGGACCTGCCTTTATGCAGTGTTCCTCCAGTCTTATGTTCTCATATTTTGCAATTCGAAAAAAGGACAATCGGATTCAACCACTTACCATGAAAACCTTGATTTACTGTCTCTACTTAAGAATTTTAAAATTAAAGTTGCATTCAAAAATCTTAGTACAATAAAAAAATCATTAAAAATTCCCCAAAAGATGCTGATGATTGTGTCTACAAGAATCTCTCTGAAAAAGGCAATAAAGTTAATTATAACATTAGAAGTGGACAAGAGTCTAATGCTTTGTTAATTTATTTGAGAGATTTTAATCACCATTTTTTAAGGACCGAGAAAGTTATATCAGGCAGGTCTAGGGTTGAGATAAATATAATTGAATCAAGCTTCATAGAAATTAGTATAAATAATAGTTTAGTGTTATACAAATTAGATTTATTTATAATTAATAAACGTTGGGAAGAATTTAAGCTATGCATGACAGGTCCTTGACACTCCCACCTACACCATACCAGGATGGGTGTAATGTTGTTAGGTGATGTCTCAGCCTTATAATCTTTCTACTGTTCTGTTAGTTTTACAGGTCCTTGATAATGTGAGAAATCACGAAAGCGTTTGGAATTTCTTTATTTTATCAGAGTAATTTTTGCATAATATATATGTATACAGAGAAAGATCATAGTCAGCAGGATTCGAAACCACGTCAGGGGAGTCTCGCAAGGTTCCCAAGTGACTAGACCACACGGCCACAGATGCCTCAAAAGCTAGGCAGCCTGGTTTACAAGCCCATTTTCTTCCTATCCTGGGCACAACAATGGCCCTTAAGCATGACTTCAAGGTATTTCATTCCCCTCACAATCGATTTTTATATCAATATACCACACAGAAACAAGCGGAGGTATTTACAGAGAAAGATCGCAGTCAACAGGGTTCGAAACCAAGTGTCCTTTTCCTTTTCTATTATTGCTCCGATCGTGATAAACACATTTTTCGGATTTAAGGACAGTTGGCATTACCGGACACCATTTGCCACTTTTTGTCCATTAAATCGTAGTCACACTAACTAAACCCATCTGTTAATAAACCCATTTATGGTCAACAGAAAGAGTACTTACGTTAGGCAGCGTCTCGAAGGCTGGACCGATGAAGAGGAGAACAATGACAATGAATGCACAGGAGATGAATGCTGTGAGGAGAGATGCACCGCCCACAGCCTCCTGGATGAGGGAGCGAGAGAGGGAGGCAGCCATGGGTCCGCAGGAGAAGAAAGAGCCGAACATGTTGCTCACGCCCTGCCAAGATTGGTTCAATAAGTTGATGATCATGCTAGTGCTAGTTCTATATAACAGTTCAGTGTCCGCGAGTGGTGGAAAGATACGCGTTTGCACAGATTGAAATATTCAATAATGTTTACCTGGAGAGGGTTTCGGGGGGTCAACTCCCCCGCGGCTCGGTCTGAGACCAGGCCTCACGGTGGATACTGTTTCTCCATGAGAGTCTTCTTTAGCCCTTAAACTTATTATGAGCATTCCTGTCTTTCCATGGTTGAAGGGTATATTACCCACAAATATGGGTAACAGAAAGACCTCTCTCTCTCTCTCTCTCTCTCTCTCTCTCTCTCTCTCTCTCTCTCTCTCTCTCTCTCTCTCTCTCTCTCTCTCTCTCTCTCTCTCTCTCTCTCTCTCTCTCCATGATTTATACTCGGGTTTAATAGATCCTTACACACTTTTATGTTCATTAAATTCACAGTTAAAGGATATGGATAACACTTTTCCATTCCTGGATGTTTTGATCAACTGAGTGAAGAGGAACTTAAAGTTCAAAGCTTGCAGGAAGATCACCAATGTATGCTAATACATCCACTATTATTCCTGCCATGAAACGAGAAGCAAAAAGGAGTGTATTTCTTTCACGGTTTCATAGTGTTTTACGTATTTGCAGCCTGGGATATTTAGGTGAGGAAATTGCAAGAAACCCTAATGATTTTATTGAAAAGTCATTGACAGCAGCTAGGATGATCCATCATAGGACTGAACCTTTGATAACATCGAGATACCATTTGTTACTTCCTCCATACAACGAGAATTTAGTTTATTCTACCGAATGCACTAAAACGATATGACTTACGGTTAGTGTTTAATAATTCAGGGACAATTAAGAACTTACTAATCAAGAATGCACCTGCAAACTCAGTTACAGGGGTATAAAAGGTGTCTTGCAACAAATGCAATACGTTTTAGGTTGGGAAGGCAGGTAAACTTCTAGAATCCAGGTTAACAAAACACCTCTAGTATTTGATCCAGAAAGTACAAGAATTAGATGCAATATTTAATCACACAATAGTGTGCAATAACCCAGTTAGATGATCTTATGCCTAAGTTAGAATCATTAGTTAGTCAGTGGTGGAAAGAAAAATCATAGTCAGTTCATTCGTAACATAGGCCATTGTCTATAGCCTTATCTGGTAGCTTCACAAATGCCCCTGAGTTCTTAAAATGTTGCAGTACATCAAAAATAGGACTAGTCCGCCCATACATAATTTGTTTGATCCCAGGAGTGAATCAGTCATTTTTGCTGGTTCCATTAAAATGTATTATCTCTACAGAGTGAGTCAGAGAGCTATCAGTTGTAACTGGCTCACTGATGCTTTATCATTTTTATCGTCTGCTTTGTAAATTATTCTCCCGCCTCCCTATCGTATATACTTTTTCATTAATAGGCTCGGATTTCTCTATGAAGCCAATGAATATTTCATTTCTCTTACCACCCCATCTTTTATAAATGTACAATTTTTTTTCAATAAACTGGCCCGACTATACCGAGGCAGGATAAATTTAAAAAGAAAAACGAAAGTTTTTCATTTTAAATTTAGTAATTTACACGGGAGAAGGAGCTACTAGGCTCTTGCTCCCGGCATTTTAGTCATCTCTTACGAAACTGGCATTTTAGTCATCTCTTACGAAACTGACATCAGTCAGTCCATCTATCATCATTCCATCATGCAGGAGGAGCCACATGTCTATGGTGCATCCAACAAGATAAGCAGACTCTTGGATGTCACTACCGCCCGGCTCCGGCTGGGTTACAAGTATCTTTGGCAGGTTAAATCACCACCACCAGATGTAGACCAAACGAAATGTAAACTTTGCCAGATGGACTATTGTCACACCTTGCATCATTATGTACTGGAGGGCGATCAGATTAATTAATTTAGAGACAACTCACTCAGAAATGTTCAAGATATGTCAAAGTATTTTATCCACCATTCTGGAAGAATACCCTGACTTTGTTCACTGCAGATAAAGCTAATATTTGCATTAATAACTCATTGCAATTGTGATCAGGTGTGGACGTGTGAATGGTTCATTATTTTATTAACTTGTTCAGCTATCAAAACTTTGGGGTCCCAGTTCCTGGACCCATTATGTACCTCTGTAATATTTCTGACTACCACCCCCTGGATGGGTATGGTGTGACTACCACCCCCTGGATGGGTATGGTGTGACTACCACCCCCTGGATGGGTATGGTGTGACTACCACCCCCTGGATGGGTATGGTGTGACTACCACCCCCTGGATGGGTATGGTGTGACTACCACCCCCTGGATGGGTAGGGTGTGACTACCACCCCCTGGATGGGTATGGTGTGACTACCACCCCTGGATGGGTATGGTGTGACTACCACCCCCTGGATGGGTATGGTGTGACTACCACCCCCTGGATGGGTATGGTGTGACTACCACCCCCTGGATGGGTATGGTGTGACTACCACCCCCTGGATGGGTATGGTGTGACTACCACCCTGGATGGGTATGGTGTGACTACCACCCCCTGGATGGGTATGGTGTGATACACGCCCCAGGAGGGGTTTATGGTGTGACTACCACCCCCTGGATGGGTATGGGGTGACTACCACCCCCTGGATGGGTATGGTGTGACTACCGTCCCCAGGATGGGTATGGTGTGACTACCGCCCACAGGATGGGTATGGTGTGACTACCGCCCACAGGATGGGTATGGTGTGACTACCGCCCACAGGATGGGTATGGTGTGACTACCGCCCACAGGATGGGTATGGTGTGACTACCACCAACAGGATGGGTATGGTGTGACTACCACCAACAGGATGGGTATGGTGTGACTTCAACCCCCAGGATGGGTATGGTGTGACTACCACCCCCTGGATGGGTATGGTGTGACTACCGCCCCCAGGATGGGTATGGTGTGACTACCACCAACAGGATGGGTATGGTGTGACTATCGCCCCCAGGATGGATATGGTGTGACTACCGCCCACAGGATGGGTATGGTGTGACTACCGCCCACAGGATAGGTATGGTGTGACTACCACCAACAGGATGGGTATGGTGTGACTACCACCAACAGGATGGGTATGGTGTGACTACCGCCCCCAGGATGGGTATGGTGTGACTACCGCCCCCAGGATGGGTATGGTGTGACTACCGCCCCCAGCATGGGTATGGTGTGACTACCGCCCCCAGGATGGGTATGTTGTGCATAATAAGAATATTAAACTTAACTTACGACATGTATGGCTTACAGAGAAAGTTCTTTCCCATGGAGTAAATGCACAAATAGGTATATTTCATTACGTAATGTGATACAAAGTTTAAAGGCTACAATGAAGGTACAAACATTCAAATATACAATATAAAGGGTTTGAGGACTGCAAGTGATCATATACGAGTCAAAATTTACATTTCTAAAATCTGACGAAGCTCCTCAGAGGAGGAGGTCGTACAAGACAGAATGAGGCACATGATCGGTGCTGAGTGACTATCATATATGAGCGAGATTACCTGAGCATAGAGTTCCTGCGTGGCGTCGATGGTGTATCCTTGTCTCTTGGCGAAGATCTTAGCCATGGACAATGTGGTAGTGTAGCCAACCACGCCTATAATGAGGGCATCCACAGCCACGCGGGGTAGCAGCTCCAGCGGGGGTATGGACGGCGCTGGCAGGCTGGCAAAAGTGCTGAATATAAGGATTATGGGTATATAGAGAGGGGACAAAAAAAAATCGCTCCATTCTTAGTTTTAGAGGTTTCAGTGAATATTTGTTTGCTTTGTGTGTTTAGAAAAAAATGTAGGCATGCTGTCGACGTGTTTTGGTAAGACATTGCTTTATGTCTGACTTTACGTGTGCTGGGTGACAGAGGCTTGAAAGGCGTTGTCATAAAGCTGGCCTGACAAATGTTGGTTGCATTCAGCTTGCTTAACGAAGACTGTCTGTTGCTAGTGTATTGTTGCATATTTCCAGCGTCACTCTACATCCCTAAAGGCAAGGAAGTCCCGTTCCAATTTTTTCTTATAGACAGCTGGGGATTAGTGTTACTGCGTACTCTTGCTTGAAAATACATTTTCTAACTTGGTTGACAGCAACCACCCAGGGAGGTACTACCGTCCTGCCATGCGAGTGTGAAACGGACACCTGTAACTGTTGTACATGATGGTAGGATTGCTGGTGTGTTTATTCTGTCTTATAAATGCTCGGATAACAGGTATATCTTGGTACTTCTACTTACACTTAGGTCCCACTACACAGACATGGACACACATATATGTAAACACCATCTGAGTTTTTCTCCCTTTCCTTAATAGTTCTTCTTTATTTTTCTTCTTATCTCCATGGGGAAGTGGAAAAGAATCTTTCCCTCGTAAGCCATGTGTGTAACCCCTTTCCTGTATAAACTACTAAGAAAGAGAAGAAAAACGTTATAAAATTAGGATGTCTGAATGTGCGTGGATGTAGTTAAATTTAAATCAAAAGACCTACAAAAAACCCTCAGAGTCATAAACATCTACAGAGTACCACAGTCAAACATTTATCACTGCAGTGAAGAATTAGGGAATTTGATAACTGATGCACATATGAACAGACCACCTACTAGTAACAGGAGATTTCAACATAAATCTACTACATAACCAAGATCCACAAGTAACTGAATTCACAAACACTGAGCAACTGCTTGTTGCTACCAACAATATCAAAATCTACAAGAATCTCCCAGAATAGTATCTCTCTATTGGACCACATCTGGACTAACACCATATCCCCTTTAAAATCAGGCATAATCACAGACAATACCACAGACCACTACCTTACCTTTCTCATAACCAATCTAGGTAAATTGTCCCAAGACACTACTAAGGTTACCTTCAGACTGCATAACGAAACAGCTGTAAATAACTTCATAGCAGCTAAGAATACTGTCGACTGGCAAAATGAGCTTGAAACATATACAGACACTAATGAATGTATTAACCTTACAAAAAGAGCCCACTACCTCTGTCACAAGCATTGCCCTTAAAAAAAACTAAAGAGCTTACAGCAGAGAGACTAAATAGTCCCTGGCTAACACCCACCATCCTCAAATCCATTAACACAAAGCACCAATATGAAAAACAGTACAGAATGGGTCAAATAACTAGAGACCAGTTTAAATGTTACTCGTTTGCCCTTACCAGCCTGATAAGAAGGTCTAAAAAATTATATTATGAAAACAGATTACAAAACATCAAAGGTGATGTAAATAAGACCTGGAAAACCCTATCTGAAATTCTAGGAAGTAAAAGGATATCCAAAAACAGAACAACCAAATTAACAAAATCAGACGAACCCCTACTCCCACCAACTGAAACAACAAACAGACTCAATGTTTTCTTCTCCACCACTGGAAAGAATCTAGCAAGCAAAATCTCAAGCTCAAACACCCGTCCATCAGACTAACTCACAGGCATCTACCCGCATACACTATTCCTAGCTCCAACCAACCCAACAGAGGTCTCGCTAATCATCAACACTCTTAAGAAAAAAGGCAGGAGACAAACAACTTGCCTACTTTTATGTACAAAAAAGCTTCACAAGTACTGTCACCAATAATTGCAACACTCTTTAACAAATCCATTGAATCCTCCACCTTCCCAGCAGTTCTCAAAATAGTGAGGGTTACCCCGATCCACGAAGGAGGTGATCAAGCCGACTTGAATGACTATAGACCAATATCTAACTTACCACTACTCTCTAAAATCTTTGAAAAATTAATTCAGTCGGATCTATTCCTACCTCATCTCAAACATTCTAAACCCCTGTCAGTTTGGATTCAGGAATAATAAAAGCGCAAATGATGCTATTATATACATGCTGGAGCTAATATTTACCGCTCTCGAGAAGAAAGAAGTTCCACTGGGAATTTTCATTGACTTACGTAAAGCTTTTGATACAGTCGACCATAAATTGCTGCACACTAAATTAACGCACTCTGGTATAAGAGGCCACTCTCTCAACTACCTAAAGTCATACCTTAGTAACAGAAGCCGATACATGTATGCCAATGGTGCAAACTCTTCCACACAATCAATCACAGCAGGAGTCCCACAGGGAAGTGTCCTGGGATCACTCCCCTTTCTCATCTACATCAATGACCTACTCACACCCATATTATTTGCAGATGACACTACATACGTCTTCTCACAACCAAACTCAGCCATACTCGCAAACACTGTCAATGCTGAATTGCAGAAAATATCTACCTGGATGATGACGAATAAACTTACCCTAAATACTGACAAAACCTATTTCATTCAGTTTGGAACCAGAGCTGCATATGTTCCACTTAACATAACACTAAATGGATCACCCATCACAAGACTCACAGAGGGAAAATTCCTAGGAATCCACCTAGACACTTATACAACAAATTTCCAAGAAAATCTCTAAGACAGTAGGCATACTATCAAAGATACGGTACTATGTTCTACAATCAGCTCTCTTTGCACTGTATCACTCACTTATCTACCCTTATCTCATATATGGAATTTGTGCATGGGGATCAACAACATCAAATCACCTAAGGCCTCTTATAACCCAGCAAAAGGCTGCAATCAGAATGATAATTCCCACTCGTGACAGCATACCCAACCTCTATTCAAAAGTCTAAATTTGCTCACCAAAAAGAACATCCACACTTATTCATGTGCCTACTACATACATAGAACAATACATGCAAACAAACCCTCCACTCAAACTTCTCCTCACCAACCTTAACAGGACACACGACCATAACACAAGACACAGATCTCTGTTTGATGTACTCCATGTCCATATCACATTGTGTAAAAACTTTGTGCACATAAAGGGCCCCAAAATCTGGAATTCATTACCAGAACATGCTAAACTAACCAGGCCTGAAAATCAATTTAAGACTCTTCTAAAAAAAAAAAACCACTTCTAGCCCAGGACTAAATAATCAACACTCAATATTTAACATTACCAATAATTCTCTCAATTACTTAAATCTTAAAACTTCAAGACAACATATAGTAAACTGATCATCTTGTTTGTTATACATTGTAATGCGACAAATTTGTACAACTAAAAGGCTTCAATATCGCAATGTTCAAATTTCAGTGTTTCAAATACTCAGTTGTACTTAATATTCTTCATTGCTTGTTAACTTTAAGTTAAGTTTAAGACTGCCCATAATGCTTTGCATACAAGGGGCTTTTGGATCGACACCATGCCCAGCCCTTTTAGGGCAAGTTAGGTGCCTGAGCCCGAGCTTGTAGATTGAGACACATATGCAACATATGGGAATCTTTATTCGGGAAACGTTTCGCCACACAGTGACTTCATCAGTCCAATACAAGTATAAAGGCGTAAGAAGAGGAGGAGTTTGAGGTAATCAGTCCCTCAGCCTGGAGTCGATGTGTTCAGTCCATCAATCTTGTAGAATGTACAGCATAGGGCCGTAGACGTGGCTTATATACTGTAGTGAGGTGAGGTGAAGCAGGCGGAGGCGGGGTCATAGTGGTACCATCCACTAGTCGAAGTAGGTCTTCATCCAAAGGTTGGACAAGTGTTGAAGAATTCTTTGTAACAAGATCCCATGATGCTGCAGTGTCTGACAGTTGTGATGAATGGTTTGAAAAACCGACAAGTTGAAGATTGAGACACTTATGCAGCATATGGGAATCTTTATTCAGGAAACGTTTCGCCACACAGTGGCTTCATCAGTCCAATACAAAGTATAAAGGCACATATGTTGCATATGTGTCTCAATCTACAACTTGTCGGTTTTTCAAACCATTCATCACAACAGCCCGAGCTTACAGTTCACAAGACTGTCATTCCCATTAGCCCCCTTGGGGCGGGGATGGCAGACCAGAGAGGCCTAGCTTCTCCCTACGAGAAGCTAGGCCTGGGGACAGTTAGTCCCTAAGACGAGGGGGTACTTGTGCCTCCTCCCATGGGAGACTTAGGTCTCAGACACTCCCTAAATAGGGAGCCAAGGCCGGGCCACCGCTTGGAAAAGGCCCGGGCAGGGAGAATACCAGCGAATCTTTAATAATAATAATAATAATAAGGGTCTTTTGGCATGTACACCCAACTAGTACTATAATTCCTTGTACAACTATATATTATGTCCAAATAAAAATGAACTAAACTAAACTAGTGCAGATGATAAGAAAGAGATGATTGTCAGTGTTATGAATGAAAAGAAGCAAGATATCGTAGCTCTAAGGGAAACAAAGCTGAAGAGGGTAGAGGAATTTCAGTGAGGAGAAATAAACAGGAATAAGTCGGGAGTATCTGAGAGAAAGCTAAGGAAGGGGCAGCAATAATGTTGAAGGATCAATTGTGGAAGGAGAAGAGGGAATATAAATGTATAAAATCAAGGATTATGTAGATTAAAATAAGGGTTGGATGCAAAAAGTGGGTCATAATAAGTGTGTATGTACCTGGAGAAGAGAGGAAAGAGATTTTGGGAGATATTAAGGGAATGTGTTGGAACATTTGAACCAATTAAGAGAGTAATTGTGGTAGGGGACCTAAATGCTAAACTAGGAGAAACGTTTAGAGAAAATGTGGTAGATAAGTTTGGGGTGCCAGGTGTAAATGATAATGGGGGGCCTTTGATGTAACTTTGTATAAAAAGGGGTTTAGTTATAGGTAATACATAT